AGATTGAGCCCACAACCTGGGCATGTGCCCTGACTGGGAATGGAACCAGTGACCTCTTGGTGCATGAGATGCTGCTCAACCAGCTGAGCCACACTGGCTGGGCTGCCTCACTTATTTTGGTTGTTACGTATGAAGGTCCACCTTTATCTGGGTGATTCAAAATCATGATTCTCCTGTGCTGCCAGCAGATGGGCTTACACCCAAAATAAGACTAGCTTCTTGAGTACTAATTTTCTGTTCAAATCCTCCTTTACAGTAGGGTGAAAGACTAAGAGTTGAAATCTTTGCAGTTTCTGTGATTACTTGTTCTAGAAGTATCCAGATCTGAAATACATAGCCACATGCAAATGCAAAAGCTGCAACACCTAGCCCTACAGCTATAAAGCTTGTCAGGCCCTGTTTGATCTCTGTGTCTGGTTGTTTGGTTGAGGGTGGTGAGTACTCAGCATAGCATAGGCTCTCCCTGGCAGGGGGTGGACAATGCCATCAAGTGCAGCCATGGCAATGCGGCAAGGGAAATGCATCTTCTACAAGCTAGCTGCAGGGACAAACTATCCCTCCCCATTCTTAACCACCACACCATGGGTATAGGATCTGCCCATTCTGTATCTCTGTCCCTCCTACCATGGCTTCTTCTTTATATCCTTGTTAAAGCACCTCTGTTCAGCTAGTCTTCAGGTGGTTCTCAAGGGTGGCTGTTCTATAATTCAGTTGTAATTTTGATGTGATTGGGGGAGGAGGAAAGCATAGTGTTTACCTACTCCATCATCTTAATCAAAAGTTCATTCTGGCTTTGTTTTGATTAAAGTTGCCATGGTGTAGTGTTTTCCATTCTTTTGCTTTGAGCATACCTCTATAACATGTGAAGTATATATGAACTACATACTAGATCGTGAGTCTGACTCAGTCTTAGAACATAGCCCTAGAGCTCCAACTTTATGGAAGTCTCCCGATACACACTTCAGCAGGCTTTGTTTTTCAACCCTCTCAAGACCCATCAAACCACAGAAATCATATTCATGAAAATGTGTGACATTGTGAGAGATGATACAAAATAGTAGAAACAAATGAGTTTTGAGGCAGGCTGACCTGGGCTTGGAATTTTAACTCCTTACTTAGTTCACTGTGTAACTTTGGGCAATGTATTGTATTAACCTCTTCTTTTTTGGAGTTTTGTGCATTTAACAAATTCAGGCCATAAAACATTTGTAATTTAGATTCCTTAGGTATCCTATATGCATGTACCCCAAGGAAACAGGATGTAATACCTCACAAGAAATGTTTTTCTGTTATCTTCTTTATAAAATCCTTAGTTATCTTCTCCTTTTTATATTAGGATTATATCTAAAGAGATCATCAGCAAGAGACTCTTCTTTTGCATGTTAATTTTGCACCTCCACTTCTCTGTGGAATCCTTCCTCCTCCAGGAAATGTGACCATTCAGAATTTCTTGAAATTCTTTAGTCAACTACAATAATTTTCACTGGGTACATTTCTGGAGGCAGAGTTACCGACCACCAGTGATCTAAATTCAGTCAGTAACATCTTCTTTGGAAGCGTCTCACCGTCATCCTGAAGCCTGTTATCGTTAGATGATTCTTTTTTGGTTGACCATAGTAATTCTTTCTTGAGATCACATTTCTTCCTAATTTCATTTTCTTGAGATATTTTGTTACTTTCTGGTATTGTTTCATCATCAAGAGCCATTTGTTTCTATATCCAACCTTGGCCTTTTTCTAACATTGACATCTTTCTCTTGTTTTTGAACTTTTACTTCAATTTTAAACTCTGGTTTCTGTTCTTGAATAATTGTTCCAATACTTCATTTTCTATGGCCAAATCATAATTGTTCCAATACTTCATTTTCTATGGGCAAATCAGCAGTTTTCCTTTTTTCTGATCTTGGTTTTTCTGTAGAAAGAGATTTATTGGCAGAATTTTTCACAGTGGATTTTGAATCTGTATCCGTAAATAAGTTACCTGGTTCCCCACCCCTACCCCAGCCTCATTCTGAAATAGATGCTGCTCCTTATTTTTCCATATTGAAGGTGTAGCAAGTTGTGTTTATTCTAGATGAGAACAAAACATTTTCATTCTTGCTGATTTAGTTGAGGAAATTTCTTTTTTTAAAAACATATCTTTATTGATTTCAGAGAGAGGAAGGAAGAGAGAGAAAGAGAAACATCAATGATGAGAGAGTTGTCATTGATTGGCGGCCTCCTGCACGCTCTCGACTGGGGATTGAGCCCACAACCTGAGCATGTGCCCCAACTGGGAGTTGAACCGTGATCTCCTGGATCCTAGGTCAACGTTCAACCACTGAGCCACGCCTGGCTGGGCAGATGAGGAAATTTCTTCTTTTTCTTCATCCCTTTTCCTTTTCTTGGTGGACAGCTGGAAGTATTTTCTGACAGAGTTGGTCAGCGGCTGCTGGGAAGCCCCATCTATCTCTATTTACATCTGGAGCTTAGTTGGTAAAAGCTGATAGTTTGGGATTTTCATCCTAACCAGAGTATTTAATATTACATTATTATTATCAGAGCTTATTTTGGGGGGTTCCTTCACAGTGGATGTTTCTTGTGAAGGCATTCTGGATTTTTGTTCCATTCTGAAGATTATTTCTTTTGGCCTTTCACTCAAATCCACATGTGTCTGTTTTCTCTGACTCTGTGTTGGCTACATATGTTGTAGTGTTCACTGGGGCACTTGGCATGAGCTTCTCTTTGACTGACAAGCCTTGGGAAAGGCTTGGCCCTGGACTCGTCATCCTGAATCCTACACAGTAATTCTGTGTAGTCATGAAACTAACTGCCAATACAATTTCTGCTTCAGGAATAGGTCTAAGACCCTGCCTTTGCAGCATATCCGTAATAGAATAAATCCATTTTTTTCTGAGTCAGAAAATAAGGTCTAGGAATTGTTATTCCTATATCAACAACACATTTTTTCAGGAGCTGAAAATAAACTATCATCATCTTCATTTTCTTCTGTTATCAACCTCTAATCTCCTCCTCCAAAAACAACTGCTGAACTCATGCTGCTTGGCATTCAGAAATACAAATGTCTTCCCTTTGAAGATCTGTTTTCTTTCCTGTTGTCCTGACAGATCAATATTTTTACTTTCAATAGCTGGTTCATCAATAGCTGGGTAAAAACTTTCAATTTGTGGAAGCTGTTTCTTAGACGGAAGTGCTTTAAGAAATTCAGTAAAATATTCTGGCTTTATAATTGGACATCCACGAATGAGTGCTCGTATTGTTTTAACCGTCACTTGAACTGATATCATGACAAGGTGTGTGTCCTGCTGTTTACAGTAAGCCTCCATGTGGCAGTGTGGCTTGATTTAAAGTGGTTTTCCCAGAGACATCTAAACAAGAGCATGCAACCAAAGGCACATACTCCACTCTCAATTTACTTGCAAACAATCCAAAAGTAACTCTAACCCATCTTCAAAGTTTGTGAAAGGATATTCTGCATTTTTTCCTCATTAACAAAGGTACCATGCTTAGAATTATCTTTATTGTCAATATAAGGATTTCATCTGTTTGACTCAGGTTGGTTACAGAAAAGTTGGCAGTCAACAGCATGACTTTGACTGACTGATCATTTTCAATGAGAATGCCAGTTTTTCCTTCCAACAACGTACTCAACGCCCATCAAAAGTCTGTATGGTTCCTCTTGGCTGGGCTACCTGGGGGAGCAGCTTCCACATGGGTCTAGTCCTCAGTGTCAGGGCGACCTGCAGCTATGCAACCACAGCTAACAGACGTGCGGGGCAGCGGTGTGTTGGGACTGTGGGCTCCTAGACATATGAGTTCTCCATATTAACCTCTTTAAACCTCAGTTTATTCATCCAGGTTATGGTATTTCTCATAGTATTGTTAGGGATGTTAAATGAGGAACGCATTAAAATGCTTGTCCTGCATAAATGGTAGTTGCCCCTATCATTGCTGTTCTAATAGTTTAAGATTCAATAATTGCCAATGGCCATTCAGCTAGTACATGGCAGGGCTGAGATTCAGATTGAAGTTTGTGATTCTACAGCCAGTGCTCTTTTCTCTACACCATATTGCTTTATCTTCCTTAGAAAGTGTTAACAGAGGGGGGAAAATAATCCACACATCTTTCATACACTTATATCTAACCTATCTAAATAATCCACAAATACTGAAATGGCTCGGTTCTGTAAGGAATAGAAAAAAAAGTCTCAGCACTTGATCTCATATATTGCTAACTAGACTTTCACTATCTCAAGAGCAGTTTGTACTTAATGTAGTACTTAAATATTCAGGCTTTAAAATAAAAAAGACCTAGATCTGAGTCCCAGCTACTCAACTTCTAAGATCCACAATTCCTGATCTGTTAAAAGGGAATAACAACATTAACTCCCTAATAGGAATATTGGGAGGATAAGATAAAGTAATATATTTAGAACAGGGCCTGAAACATGGTTAATGCTCCCAAAAAGTAGCTGTTGTTATTACCAAAGTCAGAGACTGTTTTCTACATTTTTTAATGTCTCCCATTAGTTCAGCCAATCAACAATTAGTGACCTTTTGTGTACTAAAGAAAATACATGACAATCAACTTGTTTGATACTAAACAGGGCATTAAATTAAAAAGGACACTAAGTTGATTCCTTATATCCAGAAGCTTATTATTTAAGATAATCTGTCACATAGCTGGCACCGTAACCTATGAGTCTCAAATGGATCTAAGAAGCACTTAGATCCATCATTCTGTCTGAGAATGTCAAAAGGTTCAAGTATTTTGGCATGTATAACCAGAGAAAGTCTCTATTTCAGCTTTGGAAGAAAATTTTCTCTCTCCCACAAGGAAGAAAAAAAATAAAGACAAGAAAAACAGGCATTTCCTTTTCACTGGTTTGTTAAGACCTATCGTTCAAACTCATAATGCAGAGATAAAGAAATATATAAAAGGGTTCACCCTCTCCAATAACCAGAAAAAAACTGTATCAATAAAATTCAGACTAGAATTACCTTCTTCTCCTGTTCTTCCCCAGCCACCTATAAAACACAATGTGTTTCGATCCAGGTTTTGGAAAACATCAAAAGGTAGACAAATAGGCTGAACATAGTTATTATACCTCACTGCTTGTTTTAAATGAAAAAGTGCAATATCATTTACATAATTTTCCAAATTGAACTCCGGGTGGATGATGATTGCTTTAACTTTTATAATCTTCTTGTGTCTCCCGGCTAAATTGTTAGTTCCAATCACAGCTCTCCACTCTAAAGGATTGCTGAAAGAAAGTAAATGTTCTTATTATAAACATGTTTATTTAAGTAAATATTCTTAAATCTCCCACTAGTTTTTCTCATGTTAATTAACAACAACAAAACTTTATCCTACTTTTATGTGACAGAAAGTCCTATCAAATAAAAACCTAAATATCAAGATGTAGGAAAAGAGAAAAAGACCTATGGAACAGAAAATCGAAAAACAGATGCAAAGAATTTATATGACTAAGGCAGCAGCACTTCTTACCAGGGTACAGAGCATGACTGAGTAAATGATATTGGGATAACTATCTAACTAGCTAGTTTGAAAAGTGAAGTAAATCTCTGAAAAACACTAAACAACAAAATAAACTCAAAATGGATTAAATATTTAAGCACAAATATTTTAAATAAAACTCCCTATCTTTTAGAGATAAAGTGATATGTCTGAGATTTGCTTCAAAATAACTGGAGGGAGGAGTTGAGGATAAAGATGAAACAAGATCAGGCATGAAGCTGGGAGCTCACTAAACTATTCTCTCTACTTGTGTAAACTTTTGAAATTTTAGAAGGAAACATTTGGATATTAAATTAGTGTGAGAATTATAAAAATTAAATCAGAAAGGATATATAGGTGAATATATAACATTGACATGAGAAAGGACTTTATAAAGCATACCACTAAATATAAAAATAAGAAGCAACTAATGGATCTTGATAGTCTTTAAAAAAATGAAAAGCAAGCTAAAACTCCCAAACCAAACCAAAAGATGTTCTGTAGGTCAAAAGTCAACAATTACAGCCCAAGCATTTTATAGTTGTTACACCTGTAATTGGATTGGGAAGGAAGGACTTTTACTTTTTACATGGTTGTTTACAAATGCTGAAATTCCTTTTCTCCATTCAAATTGGCAAAGTTTATGTATGAGGGTGTGTGTGCGAGCACATACATGTGAGTGCTCATATTTGATGATAATGCTCAGTACAGATGGGAGCCAGAGGAATAAAGGCTCTCTTATTCATTGTGGAAACTATAAATAGATGAGTAGTTTGGTAGCATGTTTCAAAAGCCTGTAACAGTTGCATTGTATTTGACCCTGCAGTTGTATTTTCTAGAATCTATCGCAAGGAAATAGGAGATGTTTAGCTCTCTTAAAAGTGGACTGGGCAAACTCTAAAAAGTTTGTAAAAAATGTTTCAAGTCCCAGTTTTATTTTGTTTTCAAAATATCACTACTTTAATGCTCTGGCCAGCGTCGCTCAGTCGTTAGAGCATCAGCCTATGCACCAAAGGGTCGTGGGTTCAATTCCCAGTCAAGGGCACATACCTGGGTTGCAGGTTTGATCCCTGGCCCTGGTCGGGGGTGTCAGGAGGCAACTAATCGATGTCTCTCTCTCACATCGATGTTTCTCTTTCTCTCTCTTCCCTCTTTCTCCTCTCCCTTCCATTCTCTCCAAAAATCAATGGAAAAAGTATCCTCAGATGAGAATTAACAAAAAACACACAAAACAAACAAACAGTGTCAAGACAATTCAATGGAGGAATGAACAGGCTTTTCAACAAATTGTGCTGAGAAAATTGGAAACCTATGTGCAAAAGAATAAAGCTGGACCCTTACCTTACACCATATGTAAAAATTAACTCAAAATAGATAATGGCCTAAATATAAGAGTAAAATTATATAAAAACTCTTAGAAGAAAACACAGGGGAAAACCTTCATGATGTTGGATTTGGCAATGATTTCTTGGATATGACACCGAAAGCACAGGAACAAAAGAAAAAAATAGGTAAATTGGACTTCATCAAAATTAAAAACTTGTAAACAAAACATATGAACAAACAAAACAAAACAGAAACAGAATCACAGATACAGGAAATAAACTGGTGGTTACCAGAGTGGGGAGAGGTTGGGGGTGCAGGTGAAATAGGTGAAAGGAATTAAGAAGTACAAACTTCCTGTTATAAAACAAATAAGTCATGGGGATATAATGTACAAGATAAGAATATAGTCAGTAATATTATAACAACTTTGGTGACAGATGATAACCAGACTTATCATGGGGTTCATTTCTTAATATACATATAAAATCACTATAATGTACATCTGAAACTATTTAATAGAATATTGTGTATCAATTATAAATAACTTTTAGAACTTTTGTGCATCAAAGGGCACTACTAAGAGAGTGAAAAGGTAATCACAGAATAGGAGAAAATATCTGCAAAACATATATTTGATAAGGGATTAATAGCCAGAATATATAAAACACTCCTACAACATAACCAAGAAAGACCCCCTCAAACAGCCCAATTTAAAAATGGGCAAAGGACTTGAAAAGACATTTCTCCAAAGAAGATATAAAATGGCCAGTAAGCACATGAAAATATGTTTAACATCACTAGCTATTAGAGAAATGCAAAGCAAAACCACAATGAGACAACACACTCATTAGAGCAGTTATAGCAGTAGTATAGGTGAAAGCAGTGCAAATGATGAGCTAAGGAAGAGGAGACTGATATTCTCAATTGACTTCTAATCAGCGGGAGTATTAGGGGACAGAAGAAACAAATTTAAGAGCTACTATACAGAGAGTCAGCTCACTGTTGGTAATGCTGTTATCTGAGAGGGAGAGAAGGAACAGGATCAGAAGAAAGATTTAAAAATTCATTTTTGGCAGCTAATGAACAAACAAGAAAAACAAACAAAAATTCATAGACACAGGCCACAGTATGGTGGTTACCAAAGGGAAAGGGGGTGGAGGGGTAGTAAAGGGTAAAGGGGGTCAAATATATGGTGACCAGAGTACCTGACTTTGGGTGGTGGGCACAAAGTGTGATACAGATGATGTATCATGGAACTGTACACTTGAAACCTATAATTTTATTAATCAATGTCGCCCTGAAAAATTTAATAAAAAATGAAAATTTTTTCACTTTTGGACTTGTTGAGAATGTGACTCCAATATACATGTATAGTGGGCAGTTGGAAATACGACTCGGCTGGAGAGACTTGGGAGTTGCCAGTACATGGTGATGGCCGAAACAGGAGCAGATGAGATCTCTAGGAAAGAGTACAGATGATAAAGCCAGAGGACAAAGGTGGAACTCCAGGAAAATATTGCCACTTAAAAGGTGACAGGCTCATCAAGGAAGCAGAGAAAAGGGGGGGAAAGGTAGAATGGTGTCTTAGAAATCGAGAAAAGAGTTATGAGAGCAACACTCAACTTTGTCAAATATTAGAGAGATCAAATAGGATGGGGACTGAGAAGAGGTCATTGGATTTGGCATGGAGGTGGATTTTTAATGCCGTGTTTTGGCCACAGAAACCAGATTGCAAGTGGGATTTTATGAGTCAATGCAGATGAAGCAAAGGGAATCTCTCTTTCAAGGAGTCTAACAGTGAATGGAAGAACCAAAACAGGTAGGGTGTGTTTGTTTGCTTGTTTGTTTATAAATAACAGTGAAGCGACCCAAACAGGTTTGAAGGCTGTAGAGAGGAAACAAGAGGAAGAGACTGAAAAAATACTAAAGAGACAATGAGATATAATGAGACAGTATAGTTTTTGAGACCTGGGTTAAATCCGTGGGCTGCCACTTAACAGCAATGTGATCTTGGACAAGTTACCAAATCTCTCTGATCTTGGAGTCCGCAGGTGTAAAGTGGAGATAATAGTTGTCCCAGAGGGTTAGTGGGAGGGCTTTTAAAATATGGAATTATATGTAACATCCTTAGACAGTACCTAATTTCAGAGCAGGTCTTTGATAAGTGGTTGTTAAAAGAAGGAATAAGAGATGAATGATGGTGCAAGGTTTAGGAAGTGACGGGACACAGGAATAGAAGGTGGCAGAGTTAGTTTTCTCAGACAGGAGGAAGATCCTAGAGAGTAGAGACTGGACCTCAGTGTTGTCGCTTTCTTAGAACCTAGTCCAGTGCCTAGTATATAACATATTCAGTAAATGTTTGTTGAGTAAAGGGGTAAAAACATCAGTAAGATTGAGTCTTTGGAACTGTTAAGCGGAATACGAACATTATCTTCAAATGGTTGGAAGAGGAATTAGGTTTAATATATATGGCTTCAGAAGGCAGAATGAAAACCAAGACACTTAGTTCAACATAAGGAAAAGCTTTGTAAGAATTAAAGCTGTTGAAAATTGAAATGAGAGTCTCCCACAGTAGCAGTTCATCATCACAGAGGCTGTTTCAGGTAGAGATCCATATGAGATAGTTATGGTTATGTGTGTGGGTTTTCATTCTGACAAACCCAGATTTGATCCCTGATTTTGTTGCTTTCCAGCTGTTGGAGCCATGGGCAAGGTACTTATGAATGCTCAGGTCTCAGGGCCTCTCTACAGCAAAGAGTAGTTGTAAAGATTAGTGGACATTATGTATGAAAAAATGCCTGGCTCAGTACATTGAAGCAATAATTATTTCAGACTAGAGAACCCTTTATTTCAATATTGTAAGAAGGATTTGTGTACAGGAAGAGGACTGAACTAGACATTTAAAATGGCTATTTGAACTCTAAGATTCTCTGATAGTATAACAAAGCTGTATCATTTGACCAAGGTCATACATCCAGTAGGTTTTGGAACCTTACTTAAAGCCACTGAACCACAAAGTGTCAGGAGGACTAGGATACAGATTTCCCCACCCCAAGCTCATTGTGCTCCCCACCATGTCAAAGGAACAGACCAGTAAAGGCACAATGTTAGGATTAGTAGGCATTAAGAGTCTTTCCAAGATTTTTCAACCCCTACCAAGCAGGCCTTCCCTCCCTCGGCTTAAGGTTTGACAGCTGTAGAAAAGCAATTCTTAAAGACAGCATGTCAGAAAACAGTTGCCAAACACTCACACCTGAAAGAACAGAACTGATTCGTAACTCTGAAACTTTTTTCAACCCTTGGTTTATACCTTAGTATCTTCCCATTTTTCTAATCTCTGTTCCTTAAAGGCCAATTGAGAGAACTGCAATCCATGTTTTAAAAATATACATAAAAACCCTACCCAATCAGGCCAGTTGCCCTCAATTGAATTTTGAAGTTGTTAGTTCCTCTTAAAGACTTTTCATTCTTCTCTAAGACAACTGTTCTCTTAAAAATTAATAAGTACCATGGTTTCCCAAAGGATTTATTTTATATATATATATATATATATATATATA